CGAGTCAAAGTAACCACATCCCAGAGACCACAGCGCTCCTCCCCTCCATGTTGCCGCTCTAGACCGTGGTGCGCTGTGGGAAAACTTTACTGACTGCACTACATGTTACAAGTTCACTCTCCTTTGCAAATTCAGGAGCCTCTCTGATAGTGTGCTTGCAGATCAGTGGTCAGAAGAGAATGGGTTAACGCCGACCTGAGCTGCTGCCCTTTGCCAAGGGGCGGAAGCTTCCGTTTTCAATAGAGTGGATTGCAGATTGTTGGGATAGAAAGGACTAAGGAAGTTGTCCCATGGAATTGTGGGATACTTGCGGATGACTCCTGGGACCTGAGTCAAGCATGGCTGAAGCTACACTGCAAAGCAATAGGGCTCGGACCCTGTTTCCCAGCTTGACCTGAGCTCAGACCCTCCAGCCCTGCAGGATCCCGGGACTGGGTAAGTGCAATTGCAGTGTGGACATAAGGGGGTTGAGCTTTGAGCCTGGGCTCAAGCGCGGGTTTACATGGCAGTATAGACATACCCCTTGTGACCTGCCTCGCTCAGCCATTAAGCAGCTGCATTCAGCATCCGCTGAGGCCCTAGGGGGACTACCACGGTCATCTCAATTCAAGAACATTATACTTGATGAGCCTGGAAATGACAGCCATGTGTGTAGCTGTGGCGTGGCCCACATTAGAGAGGGATGGTCACAACTTCTGGCCAGTTACAGATAGTAGGAATGAAAGGAAGCAGTGGCCCCCACTGCTATCTGGGCAGTCATGGCTCCAACAGGGACGGAGGCCATTATCCGTCATGACGACTGCTAAACATAACCCTTCAACTTCTGTTCTTCTACACACTGCCACCAAGCACTAGGCATATCTTGTGCAGGTTTGATCACTCCCTCTCAGCTCCCAGTCTCAGCTGGATAGTGGGAAGGTAATGAGCCAGCAGAACCTAGCTTTATTTCAAAGGAGACATAGAGCGAGTGTCAGCTAATAAAACTGTGCCCCTTCGTTTTTGCAGTCTCCCTTCGTGGCTTCACATACACATCGAACAGGAGGGATGGCAAGACAGAAGGCAGAGATTCTTTGGGGAGAAGGAATTCTGGAGCTAGTCAGGGATTAAACTTTTATGACAAATTCCTAAGTTGTTTTGTGTGTAGGCTTCAAAATGGGCCCACTTTGCATTTTTAACAAACTTTTGGCAACATTTTTGTGAATTGAAATTGTTACCCAAAACCTTGTTTTGTAAATGAAAAGTTTCCGTAATGATGTTTGATAAAGATGCCTATGAAAAATGCTTCAGAAAATGTCACAAACAATTAGCTAACATCAATAGTTTTTGCAAAAATATTTTGATTTTTAAAAATGGCCCTTTTTCAACCCAAAAACTTTGTATTTCAAAAAATGTCAACAATCTCTAATGATTTTGCTGAAGGGCCATCCCATCCGTCCTCACAAGAGCCGGCAGGCAAGTCAACAAAACCTTGTAGCCGATGGCACTAGAACCTTGCCATAAGTGGCAAGCATGCTTTTAGCACTGCATAAAATAATAATAGTAATGACTTGGGCGGTTGCTAGGGGGAGACCATTCACCATTGTTATTGTCATGTTATAGAGAATCACGGTCTTTCTTAAACAAGAGACATTTATTAAAGAAAACAATTGCAAATACAGATACAAACAGACTTCCATGCAGCTCCAGTTCCAGCTTTGTCACCCTTGTTTACCAGGAACCACACAAAGACATCTAGTGACTGAATAGCATACTGCAAGTAAACATACCAGATCAGTACAATCTCTGTCTCTCAGTTCTGAGGCCAAAGTGATGGTGAAATAGAGAATTGTCACATAGCATCGGACTTTCCTCATTCAAACCTCCCCTGTAGACTTAGACCAAAAGTAAAGGTCTAGAAACAGTTTGGGTTTGCTAACTCTTTTACACCTGTTTTGTGGCATTAATACAAGGGGGGAAAGGATCATTCTCCTTGAATTTGCACATTTTTACTGGGCTTGTAATGACACAACTTGGCTGTGGTCCCCTCAGTCTTTCCCTTTTCTCAGATCCCAAACAAATGACACTTAGTTGATGTTGTTTGGGAACAGGCAAAATAATTGAATCCCCCAGAGAGCGGGGTGAGGACAGATTCTGAAATAGACGCCCTACAAATGAATGCAGCTTTCAGCTGAGGCTACACCCCCGCGAAAGGGAGAGAATAGAAGCTCTGTGAAAGGGAAACAGCCAGTGCTGACCTTGGATTTCTTTTCTCTGTAACATTAATTGCTTGTTGCTTTGTTCACCACATGACTGCTGGAAATTGCCAACTTGTTCCTGCTCACACGGGCGCTGTTTAAAATAAGCCACCTAGGAGTTTCTTAACTTAGGGTTGTTTATCCAGGTTTCAGGTGTGTTTCTTGTGATTTTTTTCTTTAATGCCAGGATGTCATTGTAAAAGTGTCTAGCCGTGGTTTATCCCTTTAAACATTAGCGCTTTCCAGACTGTTAGCTACATGATTGCTTGGAGTGTCAGTCTGTTTTCTATCATCAGCTAAGCGTTTGCAGGTACACTTGAAGTCAATGGGAGCTTGAGGGCTCAGCACTTTTGAAAAGCAGGCCCTACCTAGATTCTGGATGGCCTACACTTTGACACACACCG